GTACAAATAATATGGGCTTAGGTGGAAATAGCAGTAATAATGGACCTATCGGACCTACAGGTCCAATGGGTGGACCAATGCAACAACAAATGAACCCGAATGTTCCTATGCAACAACAAGCACATGCGCATGGCAGCGGCCTTGGTGGACTAATGCAACAAGGCGCACCGGGCAGTATTGGACCACCCGGTCATGGACCAGTACCTGGCCCTGGACCAGGTAGTATGAGTGGTGGTCCTAATCAAATGTTGCCACCACAACCGCCACCGCATCTTGGTCCACAACACCCGCAATTAATGAACCATCCAAATCATCCTCATCATCATCCTGGCGGTCCACCACCACACATGATGGGCGGACCAAACTCACATATGCACGGCCCAGTTGGAATGGGTCATATGGGACCAGGAGGACCTAATCATCCACCACATCACATTATGGGAGGTCACGGCAGTAGTCCACATATGGGACATATGGGTGGAGTGCCAGGTCCAGGTGGACCTGGTCCTGGACCAGGTAACATGAATGGCCCTCCTCATCCGCATTCACTCCCGCATGGTCATCCACAACACCCACATCCACACCACAATCCTATGGGTGGACCACCAAATATGTTCAGCGGCAGTCCTCTGGGGCCTGGAGGTCCTATGGGTGGACCAATGGGTAACATGGGCGGTCCAATGGGAGGACCTATGGGTCCAATGGGCAGTCCTATGGGTGGTGGTCCGAAACCTATGACTATGAGCGCAGGAAAAATGTATCCGCCTGGACAGCCAATGGTGTTTAATCCGCAAAATCCAAATGCGCCACCAATTTATCCCTGTGGTATGTGCCACAAAGAAGTGAATGATAATGACGAGGCAGTATTCTGTGAATCTGGTTGTAATTTCTTTTTTCATAGGTAAGTTTTGTATGCGGCAGTATATTTAGTAACAATCTGGCACTTATAACTCCATTTCTTTACAGAACGTGTGTTGGTTTAACGGAAGCCGCTTTTCAACTGCTAACAAAGGAAGTGTATGCGGAGTGGTGCTGTGACAAGTGTCTGTCTTCCAAGCATATACCAATGGTTAAGTTCAAATGTTGAGAATAATATTATGCTGGCAAAGCGATAATGAATAGTAATGTAAACCTAAAACAAAAACGAGTGAAGAAAACCCCGCAAATGTAGTAATAGACAAGAATAAAATCTGAAAACAACGATTGTACAGCAACGTGGAGAACGGCACGGCACCTAGAACGAGAAAAATATTGTAAAAATAAATAAACTCAACTAATAATGGTAAGGTTTTAAACACACGTTATATTAGTAAATAAATTAAATGAGAGATCTAATATATTAGAAGTGAGCAATAGTGCAGGAGTTAGATCAAGTTAAGCAAGAAAAAATATGTTAATAGTAACAAAGGTTGCAGCCATTAAGGTGGACAGAGTATACTACTAATTTAAATAAAATTAAGGTTGTCTCCTTGAAAGTTTTAACTTTATCAATCAATCGATCCACGATCGATCAATATCATTTGTACAGATATTTTATAACATTTTATATATTTTATATTTTTATTTGCTGCATACCTTGAAAAATTTGAAAGATTTTAAAAAACGAATATGCTCCTCCTGAGCTCTGTTTAAAATCAATCCAGTCAACAAACCTAAAATGTTCAGGCGCAATTTTGTCATAGTGTATATTGTAATAATTTCTTTTATTTATAATTTTTTGTTGTGTGAACAATTATTAATTTTTATTTAAATTTATTGCTAAGTAAATAATATATATTTTATTCACAAATTTGTATAAAGTAAAATGAAGTGACGAATGAAAAAAAAACAAATTTTGCAATTTGCAGGAAACAATCTAGTTTGTATTTATATTATAAATTCTAAACTTAAAGTATATACAATTTTATTTGCTTAAAAGATTACATTATTGAAACAAATGTTGCATAGCGTGCGTTACGAATTTTTTAATTATTGTATTTTATATGTATTTTGTTTTAATTATAATTTTTTTGTGTATGACAAACGTTTTAAATATAAGAAATAAAAAGAATAAAAAAAAATAAAAGTCGAATTGTAAAATCTACAAAAAATTAAAATTTAAAAGCAAATTATTTAAGCGTGAAACAAATAAAAAAATATTAAATGGACTTCTTTTTAAATGTTATCAAGAAAAAAAGTAATTATAATAAATCATATAGAATATAAACTATAAGTTATTTATAATTAAATAAAACATTAAATAAATTTCAAATATAAATTGTTAATACTTAATAATTAATAATTGAAGTCAATGTGCATTTCAAATAATTAGTTGTATATATATGGAAAAGCATGAAATTTACAAAGAATTTCAAAACTTCATTTTAAAACATATTCTAATGTATTAGAATTATGAGTCTTTGATTTGAAACATACAACTTATTGATCAGTTGTATTAAGTCAATGGTTTTCCAATCTAGTGCACCACAACTATGTTGACGCTGTGGAAAATTGTAGATTGGTTTGTTGCTGAAAGCTGTGTAACGATTTGGAAAATGTCAATATGTTTTTTCTGCGTTCAAAAAATACTATTACTTTATCAAAAAGAATACATACAATAAAATGAAAAAATTCATTATATATTATAGAAATGATTATACTCGTATATCATCATTAAGATAAGTATGATTTAAAATTCATTTATAGATTTATTACGTTAAAAATTTTGTTTTCTCAACAGGTAACAGTATCTTTAATAAGTTTTAAAGAAACTAACCCGTACAGAGTAACCAGGTTCAAATAGAGACATGATCTGCATTAAGCATTAACATGATCAATTGTTAACGTCAACGAAAACGGAACCCTTTGCTATCGCCTCTATAACAGAGAAAACTAATAAAAAATTATACGCCGTTAAAAGTTTTATTTTGCTCAAAGTTGGCCCCAAGCATGTGGGTATGTATTTGCAATAGATTTAATATGTGTTTATGAAGTATCTTACCTATGATTCCTGCTCTTACTGAGTTATCCATTTTATAATTCTGTAAGTTAAAGTAGAGAATTCGATCAAACTTTTATTTCAATACATTATTTCGTTCTTGCCATTAGGTGCGAAATACGAAATCAATTTGATATCTACGGGACATATCACAGTACTGGATGCTTTTGAAACAATTTTTGTTTGTTAACGCTAAGCTCGGCGATAACTTAATGGATCTTCTTCGTAGTTTAAGGAACGTTAGCATAAAAAACGTTCCTTTGCGTAATACCAAACTAGTGGTCACAAATCGCATGATCTTTATGATGAACTCACATAATAGGTCTGTTCCACGATACTCTTAGTAAAACATAAGTAAAATTTACACGAAAATTTGCTGGTGGAACGCACTTGTGTATACACAGTGTTACTCAAAGTTACTACGAGTAGCTCGTGGAACAGACCTTATATTATATATACATGGGCCGAAAAATATCTAGAACAACAAAGATATAACTGGATGTATTGCTAGAACCGTATATTATGATCACGCAAAAAATTTTAAATAAAATATTATACACTCGACATTTTAAAAAAGAACGTGTCTTTCAAATCTCTAGACCAAATGTCACATCATATAATGCCCCTTTCCTGGATTCAGTGGCCGTTTGACAAACAGTTACTTGTAGGCATATCCATCCAGCGACGAATTAGCCTTATCAGTAAGGAAAATTCAATATGAGCATTTGGCACTATTTTTTGAAACTGAAAACATTTGCAACAACAACGATGTTGTCCTATGTACTGTAGAAATTTCGTTGTTTGTACAAAATTCATTTAAGTGTATAGTTTGATATAATATTTTGCACAACTGAATTATTCTAAATTGAAATTTTATAAGCTAATAATTGGTTGGCAACATTAACTTTTTGTGTGAAGGGTGTATCAACAAAATAGTAATAAAAACTCCAATAGCTAATTTAATTACTTCAGTAAATGTCGTTGATGATTTTTGTGTTCAGATATTTAACTTATTAAATCATGTAGTATGTAATCGAAATAATATCTACATTTTTAATTTTAAGTTTAATGTCTCATGTATATATTACCATCGACGCTTGTAAGCTGCAAGTTTAGTAATCTATGCCACAATATACATTGCAGAATTTACATTATGTTGGGTTCGTGAATACTCTGTCGCTATTTACTAAGCGTTTCTATTTAGTAAGCTATTTATATTTAAAGCAAAACAATTTGGTACTCAGTTTTACTATTTCTTTCAATCCACATTCTGAGTATTTCCTAGAATAATTTTAAAAAATGTGTCTATTTCGGATGTATATATATATATATATCCATTGGTTAGGCAATGTAATCATTTTCATTTTAACTATGATACTAATTTTATATAATCATCAAAATAAAATGCAAGTGTCACATGCCAAAAACACACATATATACTTAGCAATATATATTTATATATATAATGATATACTTTCAGTGAAAGAAATCATTCGTTATTATTATATAAAGCATATTGTAAACTTATCAAAGTTTATTTCACAGCCTCTAAAGTATATGCCCTATTGAGTGCAATAAAACTATGCTTCTATATATGACGTAGATATGGTATTTAACTCCATATCCAATCAGCTCGAAACTCCTCCACGAAGTAGTAATTTTAACTTAAAAGGAACCTTAAAAGCTACAAGGAACCTAATGAGTAAACAGTTCGCAAGATATATAATTTTATACGTGCGTTTTCAAATGATAAATTCCGTATATTTTTTATACATGATATGTAGAAAAATATATTTTTATGTTGGTACTTGAATACTTTTGAATTTGTATATTTTTTAAAAATTCTTTGAAATTTATCCTTTCTATACCTTTTTTGTTGTGATAAAAATTTTTTATTCTGGGCGTATAATATTAATATTATTTGATCAATTTTGAAAGGTAACAATTTCGATTGTAATTTATCCGCTATTGGAATCATAAATAAAAATAATATGTTTCGAGCAATACTAAAATAAACATTAAATTAAAATACGTTTAATTTTATGTATTTTTGAAATTTCAACTAAATATAACTATCGATATTACTTAATCCAACATATACTGCGGGTCAGATAATACATCAATGCCATGTTCTAGAGATTTGTAAAGGTCAGGATAATTCAATATATCGGTGCGCGTAAGATTTCCAGACTTGTATAAAACACAATATACCTAAAATGAGACATCTAGTAAATTCTATAATTTATATTATAAATTTAAAATTTTGTTCCATTATGTCTCTGCAATATTTTTAAATGAATATTATAACTTACATATGGGACAATTTTCATGGTTCTTAACATTTCCGTACGCATACTCATCCAAGTGTCGCGTAATCGTTCCTCTGCATCGGATATGAATCCTGGTTTCCATTGAGCTTCTATTTTGAACCGATTCAAGCGTTGTCTTTCTTTTGCCGTACGAGATAGCATCACTGTTTTTCTACGTCGATCCTCTCTTTTCATTTTCATGCGCTCCATGTTACTTAATTTGTCTAATTCTTTTTGACGTTTCTCCTCTAGTTTATGGCGTAGTTTTTTAGCATCTTCTTCGCGTTTTTTACTCGCCATAGTTTCAGCATAAATAGAAGACTGGTTTTCCAATGCATAAAATTTACAGTAATAATTTACTCTATCGGTGTCTTGTGGTGGCATAATACGACGAAAATTTCCCAAATGACTCTCTTCCCAAGCTATTTGCTGCGCTAACATGCTTAATGGACAGCCCGTATTCTCTGGAGGTTTTTTTTCAACTAAAGCAGTAGCACCTCTTGCAGTTTCACTATAATTTTAATAAATAAATGAAAAATACTACAAGTTTATAGGAGTTAAATTAATTTTATGTATCTCATTACTAACTTCTCATGCCTTTTTTTCAATAATCGCTGCTTTACTCGTTTTCTATCCTCACGTATAATTTTTTTCTTATCCGCCAATACAGTGCCAATGAGTGTTAATGTATCACGAATTAAAGCTCTTTTTACTTGCTTGTCGACTTCTTCATGCGTATGGAAGCTTGGTGAGGAGTTTACTTCCAAAATGAACGGTTTCAATTTGGAGTCAACTAACACATCAAACCCGAGTATTTCAAAACATCCTTGAATCTTATCGTGAGACGGAAAGCAGGCGTGATAATTATGTTTTAACATCGGCCAAGCAGTAAGCACCGTCTTTATAATAATATCATCTATATTATTCCAGAAAATTTCGACGCTGTGATTGTTACGCAATAACCAACTGTTTATTGCACTGAAGTTACGTTTGCTACCGCAATCATCATCATCACAAAGCTCATACTGTGTACTACGTCTGTTGACCGAATAATTTGTGAGATGCATGAAGAGATCGGTGCTGTTATCAGCACATGGTTCCACATATTTATTTGTAGCAAACCTCGCTAAACCTTCATTATAGACAAATATACGCAATGGATCTACCGATGTAATTAATGTATATATGCGTAAGTCAAATTTATAACCATCAATTAGGAGTGGCTACGAACATGTTATACTTTTATTTTAAACGAATTTAACAAGTTATGAATATATGTTCATACTACTTACCCTGGTTATATATGTTTGGCAAATCATACGTTCTATTGGATTTACATTTTTTAAATCATTTGTTAGCCAAATGCCGCGTCCTTGAGCACCACAATCTGGCTTTATAATAAAGGTTCGCGGTTTATGACTTAAAGCAAAGTTCATGGCTTCCCCATAACTGTAAGTATTGAAATGATTTTAATAATTTTAATCATGACATATTGGTGTTATATATTACTCTGCTGGAAAAATCCAACTTTTTGGAAATATCTTATAATCAGTAGGAAAAAGTTTCAACATGCGATTTAAATTGCGTGATAGTAAATCTTTACGACAAATTTCCATCATACCCGGAAAATGATTGATTTGTTGGAAGCGTTTCATGCTTTTATAAACTTCTACGCCTGGTACAGAATCCATCCAAATTACATTCCAAAGTTTATCTTCTCTAACTACTTTATAACCTATTTGTTTTGCAGCTCTGCTTATTACATGATATCGCGAATTCGATACACATATACTGGCTTTAACACTCCTAAAAGAGAAGAAAAACTAAATTAAATCAATATAAATTATTGATTTCAATATTCACTTAACATATACATGAAATGCATGTTAATATTTTATATTAACTTATGTATATTAAGGACTGAGTGAAGAATGCAACTTTTAGAAACATAAACTAATGGACCAAACGTAAATATTTACTTATCTTCTTAATAATATTAGAATGTAGTTATTTTGTACGACTATATGTATGCTGTAGAATCTGACTATAGGATTACTAAAAATACTTATGTTCTTTTCTTACTATGTATGTTGTCCATTTATAAAAGTAGAAACTATCTCACTACTTATTAAGAATAACATATTAAATAATATTATGAATAACAATAGTACAATAATATTATTGTAATATATTTCCTAAATATTTCTTTGGTAGTTCTATTAGTACTGTGGAAGAGTACTGTGCTTTTTCATGAAAGAAAAATATTTGATATTTCTCGATAAGTTTTAAACTATTTGATAACTTAGCAATTAACAATATATTGTTATAATTTTTCAAATGCTGGATATAAAATGACTATAATAAGAAGTTTAAAACATTAAGATATTGGTGGTAATACACGTAACCAAGGTTGTTAGAGACTTTTGGAGAAAATTTACTATTCTTTCTCCAAGAATAGTATTATTATGGTTATTAATATTGTAAAACAAAATGTTTGAATTAAAAATATATGTAAATATATAAAAATACTACTTATGGCAATACTCGATACCTTAGCATCAACGAATTATGTTACTCTCATGTGGGTACCAATACATTAATGGTATGAGGGCAATGAAATAGCAGACTTCCTAGCAGAGAAGGGTGCATGTACTCCTTTTATTAGTCCAGATCCTTTCTGCGGGGTAACAAATATCTTCACAAATAACTTATTATGTGAAAGGGAGAACAAAATCTACTTGAAGACTGGAGATCCTGACAACATAAGGATCCTGACGCTATCCTTAACCTTGGCAGGAACGATATTAAAATATTTATTGAACTTCTTACAGGACACTGAAGGCTCAATTGCCACATGAAGAGTTTAGGTGCGGTAGAAACTGAGTCCTCTCGACTCTGTCATGAGGAGAAGGAAACATCTGTACTTATTCTATGCAACTGCCCAGCGGTTGCAAGACGTAGAATTGATTTCCTTGGAAGCGGGATCTTAGTTCCAAATTAAATAGGTAAAATTAAGCCCACAGCAATTACGAGATTTATAAATAGTATAGAATTGTTTTAATTGGGCTCTTAGGCGCGCAATAGATCTTTTAGGTCGAGGTGCATTCATAGCCTATTATTTAATAATAATAATAATAATGATACTCGATATAATCACATTATTGATTTATAATGTGGGTTCTATATATAATGCTTATTGTAACAAATCAATCTTTTCCATACATCTCATCTTTTCTTTATTTTTGTATTTTATTATCTCAATGATTAAAATGGGAAAATATGCACTTTAAGCGTTCAAAATTTGGTACAATTCAGATAAGTGTGACTTCCAAAAGATAAGTTCTTCTTTTTCTTATTTGGCACTACAGTCCAACATAAGTTAACGAAGAATTATTACAACTTTCTCAACTTACATATACATAGATGTCTATCGCAATCTAAAATATATGCCGTTTAACCTATAAACTTTATCACCATTCACACAAAAACTATAATTCAAAGAACACATATATTTAAGTAAAAAGGTGTACTAACTTTTCTGTTTTTTTTTCAATTTTTAAAATTGTTAGCGATTTTATAGGTAGCTTTGTGTCTTTATATATAAGTTGTCTGTGCTATAGTAGTGTAGACACTTTAGTTACTTTATTAATTTGAGAGATATTCCAATTTGTTTTTGCCAGCTATATTTTTGATATCCTACTTAACTCCAATAGTATTCTGCAAAAAGTGGTATATTTGTCTATAGATAACAACTTAAAACGTAATAGTGTAACAACATACCGACCCATAGAATATCGCAATATTTTCTATAACAGCTTCAATAATCTATTACATTTCCAAAAAAAAAAAAAATATTCTATGAACTGTAAATCTTAACTTAGTGATAAAACTATTATATCCAAAACTATTATCTATTATATCAACTACTACATTTTATATAAACTTTCCATTCCATGGTATTTCAAATCAAGTACACAATGTACATATTATATCATATATATATGATATATTTACACATCTTTTTAGGAGTTTCTGAGTATCTGAGTAAGTTTGTACATGGAAAAAAAATTAGACTTACGATATCGTAGGCCCTTCCTCTTTATGTGGTGGCTTTTGTGGTGTACATTTCAAATGAAAACAAACATTGTTAAGCTGTATTAGTCCGTTTCCATCAATATCTATGGGCTTCTCTTCTTCTACCACATCCTTGTCGGGATCAATTTGGTGAGTACTAGTTATTCTACACTGATCTAGATCGCTTATTTGAATGATTCCATGTTTTTCATGTAAAACATCGTTTAACTCTACAGCGAACCGAGCGACATTTTGTCGACGTACCTTTTCTTTTGAAATTTTTCGCAAATATTGTATTTTAGTTAGAAATTTCGATCGTTTCAAATTCATTTCGCTTGATTGATATTGATAATGAATAAAGGTTAAGAAATATACATAGGAGTTAATTTTATGCTTCCAGAAATTTAAATTTTTCTTAAATATGCTAAGTGTAACAGATTTGTAGCAGGTACTTTCCAAGACTATTTCTAAATTTTACACTATTTTTGGATATATTTCTTAAATCTAAATTTTGTGTTATAATTTATTACCTCATTGTCAAATTTAAATAACATATGATTAAAAAAAAAAGTTAAATTCTTTATGATTTACGATTAATATTTGATATAAAAAAATGACTAATTTTACATATTCAAAACACTGAAATTATAGTAGCTATCAATCGTTTTGAGCACTTGTTCCATTTCTGGTCGATAATGTGGGCTTTCCGCTATACAATCAAGACCTAATAATATAGTGCGTTTACATATCTCTAGTTCACCTGGTAGGGCTGGCACATTTTTATCTATCAGATTCTCGACTTGGTGTTCGGCATTGGCAAACAATCTACGGATGTGTTCCGTAAGTAAAACATTGGCACGGTTTTTATCATAAGCACGTAGCCCAGTAAATGCTTCAAGCAGCACTACACCAAAACTGTACGTGTCTACTTGAGTGCTGAGTTTTTTAGAATGTAAGAATTCCGGTGGTAAATAAGGTTTGGTACCAAAAACTTTTGTTACTTCAACGGCTGAATTAATAGCATTTGGTCCTTCACGTGCCAAACCAAAATCACCAATTTTTGGATGTAAGCACTGATCGAGCAGTACATTCGCTGGTTTTATATCTCCATGTATGAGTGGCTTATCCCGGAATGTATGTAAATAATTGATACCTCTAAAAATAAAAACGGTTTAATAATAGGTTAAGGAAAGAGTAAAATATTCACTCACCTTGCAGTACCCAAACATATATTAATGCGTTGCTGCCAATTGAGTGGTGTAATCTTTTTCGAATTTAAGCGTTGTTCCAATGAACCCCCTTTCATAAGTTGATATACTAAACAAGGTTTTTCGCCTTTTATGCTATAGCCATACAATGGCAAAACATTATCATGACGACACGAATTTAAATATTTTAATTCATTGAGACTCTGTTGAATTTGCACTTTAACATTTTCACGTTCATTGGAACCTCGGTAATGTATTAATTTTATAGCAACATCTGTGTGTTTCCAATAACCGCGAAATACAGTACCAAAACCGCCTTTACCCAGAATGAATTGTTCGCTCCAATTATTTGTGGCTTCCGTAAGTTCATGATAGTTGATCTCTAGTATGGAACTGGCATACTCCTTAACATTACGCTCGCTTAAATAATTTGATTGTTGTTGCTCTTGTTGCTCGAGATGTCCATTTGAAGTTGAGTAGGCAGATGTGCTATTATTGTTATCACTTGTTTCTAAGTTATTCGAGTTGCTTACACCTGAGGAACTACTGCAGTTGAGAATCTTTTTGGAATGATCATTTGAATTTGTTCTATCTTGTGCCATAAGCACGCTTAAAACAGGTTGGCTGTTAGGTATCAGTATATGATATTTTCGCTCCACAAAATCCTTTAGTAAACGCATAGCTTGAAAAAGCTTTTGTCTAAAAAATTCAAACATTTATAAATACAAATTATGAGAGTTTTATACATATTAATAATAATAAAAAACCAAAATACAAAATACAATGATACAGTAAAGAGAAAAAAATCGATTCATTTAATATTTTTATATACATTTAAGTAACTACAGTCTGTAGTAGTCTATCAAACAATCATTAATATTATATTAAAAACTTCGTGTTACTTTTTATACTAAAAAACTTTTCTGCTAAGAATTCACTAATATTTCCAAAATTTAATTATTTGCTATAACGTTTATTTTATTTAGATTAAATTGCTCCAAAAAACCTAAAATTGATTATAATACTTTATTTAAATATATATGTATAATAAATATATATATTGCTACACACGTCATAGCATCTAATTTAGTATATTGTATAAATTCTATTTAAAAAAAATATACAATGCTATCAGCTTCAATTTCTTAATGATGTTTTGAGTGTGTGTTGATAGAGGTAATCGGCATTTGATGGTCTGAGACCCAAGTCGCCTCGAACAATTTCATCTCGCTATCTATATATCATTTTAGCGAAACTTAAACCTGACCAAAAAATATATATATAAAGCGGATATAATAATGACTAATGTGGGAAAAAATTTGTAAAAATGTATATAATATTGATGTATAAAAATGTTTAAACGTATAAAATAAATAGGAAATAAGAAAGAAGTCTGAAAAATTTGTGTTCAGATTATTGAGGTACTATTTTCTTGCTTTACCCGGATTATAGAGATTACAAAGAAAATTTGTCCGAACTACTGCGATGTTTGGATGATTCAATTTCAGAATTATTGAGAGTTTACTGTACACATATATACAGTAAATATAATTCTCAGGTCTTATTCATCTTAAATTCTAATTTCTACGAAATCTACACATTCAATTTAAGTGAATAAAGTACTTAATTTATGACTGTGTATGTTTGATATAAAATTAATATTATATTAATAATATATTAATAATTAAATAACAATAATATATTAATATATTAAATATTATATTAATATATTAATAATAAAAGTTTAAATTTTCTTTTTATGTAAAAAATATTGAAATGTATTTTTGGGTTTCACCCCAAATCGTACTGTGGATCTGACAAATGTATTGTATTTTATAACGACCAATATGTTTTAACAATAATAACAGAGCTTCAAACAATTATTACAATATTCAGAGGAATTTGTTTTACAAAATTTTAATTAAACTAGATATTCCTCTTTTATAAGTATATTGTCTATATACTTATGTGTATTTGAATAATTTCTTAAGAAATTACTTTATGTGTTTTGTGAGTATATATATACATACATACATATTTAACTCGTCATACCTCTTTAAGATAACGAAGAGTTCAGTTACTGTATGATTATATTGTCCCCCCCAAATTTTGAGAAATTCATCAATAGGGGAATTTCCCAGTGTTTGTTGACGACGTATGCTCTATAAATATAAAATATAATTACAGAAAAAACCAACTATATTGCTCTTAATTTATATATTTATTTACCTGCATTTCAGCCGTTTTAAGACTTACGGCTGTGGCGAGTTGGTTCCAAACATTTAACTCATCCAAATGGTCGCACAGAAGTTGTCGCTGCGATGGTGGCAGTTCATAAATGTACATATTCTCCCTACCATGTCCACTGCTGCTGCTGCTGCTGACCAATGAATTTGACATTTGAACAATTATAGCAATAAAATTTTGGAATTTAATATAAAATGACTCATAAAATAATTTAATTTAATTTCAACGCATTTAGAGATATAAAACCACAAGAAAAACAAAAAAAAATTTTAACTCAATGATCTGCAACAAAACATTAAAAACAACTCAACACAAACAAATCAAATTCATTGCACTTAATTACGAGTTTAACTGGTGCGACAGCGAGAGTACAGGAAATTACGCAGCGTTGTTTAAAAAAGTATTGCTTTAAAAGGTAAATTATCAACAAATGAAACATTATACGGGTATTCAGCATGTATGTGCATCATTGCAAACTCAAATAATCGTGAACACACTTTGTGCATATTAGTCTTGAAAATATTTAGAACAGCTGATTTTTGTTTACGTATTTATTTGCTTGTAAAACATAACTCAGATTTGATATGCATAATTTCAACAAATGCAAAGAACAAGTGAAAAACAGAATACATTGACATTGTCTGACATTGATGCACGTAAAGTAAATAAAAAACAATTGCACAAAATCATTAAATTACAAAATAAAATCAAAACAAACTTAACGGTTTCGCTGAAGTATTGCCCAGCGAACAGTAAAAAAAGTAATATCATTCACAATAGAGTCTGAAAATCAAATATGCAAGAGGTAATTGGTGTTGAAAATATGGTCTTGAATATTGTCTTGCAAATCAAGTGCAGAATTATAAGAAAACGAATTGTTTTTGTAAAATCAAATAAATTTGCACATGCAACGATGCACAGACATCTTGAATACCCCTTAAAGGAAAATTCAACTAATTAATAGAATAGAATATTTAAAGTAGGCGATAATAGATAGATATTTGTAAATTTCTTTTGATTTCGATGGCCATAAATGTATTAATCTAATATCGATTCCGATATCGATTATTGCTATATTATATTATAAATATTGATATTAATAATATTGATAAAAATATTTACTTTACTCGAATTTTTATAGCACAATTATGCACTCATAAAAATATTTTGTATGTATTATTAATAATAATAGTATGTCATGAAAAACTAGTGAAATTATTTTTTATTGTTATAAATAATGTTAATTTCACTCTTAAAATACTTATTCTAATTATAAGTTATAATATGCTATAATTTTGCTACATTTTTAGTTAAACAAAAGTAAATACTATTTTTTTAAGTTGCAAGGGAACTCTCAACGCAAGGCAAAACATCTGTTTGCTGACATAAGTTCAGTCACACAAATCAATTAAATTGAAATTTTATACACAAGCATATTTACATGGTGTATATAACAGTTGGTTTTGTATAATTAACGTGCACAGTGTGCAAACCACTTTTATTATACATGAAGATGCTACTTTGTGCGTTGCCATTTTTTGCATGCGGTAGAATAATACGTGGCTTTGGACGTGGTTCGAAAGAGTTGGGAATACCCACAGGTAACGATTACATTATATTTTTACCATTTTATCATTTAAAATAAAATTAAATGTAATTTATTTTTAGCAAATTATCCCCTCGAAGTTGTAAAATCTTTGCCTACAAGTTGTCAGAACGGCATTTATTATGGTTGGGCTAACGTAGATAACGGAGAGGTTTATAAAATGGTAATGAGTATAGGTTGGAATCCGTACTATGACAACAAGGAAAGGAGTATGGTAAGTTAAGCTTCCATAAATTAGGTTTCAATTAATGATATAGTCAATTAATTAAATGTTTTAAGTGTATATAATTGCATTTATCACATGCCTAGCGACCTTAGTTGTGGTCGACGTAATAAAGAAAACTATTGTGTAATTACTGAAATTAATATGAAATTTGAACATTCAGATTGATTTGAAGTTCATTCGGTTGCACAGGAATGTGGTTGCAATCATTTCCTGCTGATGCTATCAGTTTAACTTTTGTACTTATTTAAAATAAATATAATATGTACATAAAATGCATATTATATTTTATCAAATTGCTACAGATTTGGAGATAGTGTTATATGTATGTTTTAATTTGAAAAGTATACACAACTGTTTTTGATTGATTATTTTAACGTAACGTATATTATAGATGATTAATATCTATCTGAATATGACTAAAACTAAGTTTCAAGTATCTTGTGAGTAATGAAAAATAATTAGAAATTCTTTTTTTCCGTAAAACAGCTTATCTTTAATAAATAATGAATGAGATAAAGAGATTTAAATCTGTTGAGTTCAATTATTATTTACATATATATTTACATTAAGACCGAAAAGTTTTCGGAAATTCTCATTTAAAATTCGCGCGCTGTATATTTTTCGATATTTTAAGTTTATGTAGTTTGGCAGCACTTTCGTTAATTACTATGCCAAAAATGAGCGCGATCTGTCAGACAGTTCGTTTACGGCAGCTGTTGAAACCAGTTCACCTCAGTAGGGCGTTGCGAAAAAAACAATGGAAAAAAATATTGAACAAAGAGTTTGCATCAAATTTTGTGTTTCGAACGAAATTTCGTGTGCAGAATCGTTGCGAATGCTACAAAAGGCTTATGGGGAATCAGTTTTATCGAAAACTCAAGTTTATGAGTGGTACAAAGCCTTTCAGGACGGTCGTACGACCGTCGAAGACATTTCGCAACGCACTACTGAGGTGAACTGGTTTCAACAGCTGCCGTAAACGAACTGTCTGACAGATCGCGCTCATTTTTGGCATAGTAATTAAGGACAGTGCTGCCAAACTACATAAACTTAAAATATCGAAAAATATACAGCGCGCGAATTTTAAATGAGAATTTCCGAAAACTTTTCAGTCTTAATGTATAAATTCATATTTTTAGGGTTGTCATGGGGTTTTAAAAATTTTTAATGCTTATACAATAGAAGATATATATATGCTCTTATATAGTAAGTTTTGGATTTTATATTTATTATTATTTTTTTTTTTCATTAAGTCGACATCCGCTAGCTTGTTTATCATTTTAATTGTAATTAATAAATTTTTTAAATACTAAAATTATTAGAATATTAATCTAGTCAATGTTAAGTTTTAATTTCCTTATTTATATAAATTATTTTCATATATTTTATATTTACTATTTGTTGAGTCTATCTAAATTTTTCCTGATCCTGAATCATTTTACATATATAGTTGTATACTTTTTCTTTAAATGCTTTTGTATTATTAAGTCCATTTTTAGTTTTGTATAGTTATGTATTTAGTTATGGTAATTTGTTAAAAACGGCTAAGGAAAAAGGTAGCTTTTGTATAAGAAATCGAATGAGGGAAAACATAACTATATATATTTTATCATTATTTATTCATCTAAAAATTTAGATGATTTTGATCTTACTCTTTTATTGATCTTTCTCTGTCATCACATATCCATTTCTGTGCAAAGTCGAATTAGTGTGCATATAGCAGATAGCGATTGATGTGTTTATCTTTACAATTAAATATTTTTGGTTCCGCATCTTTGGTTTGCAAATCCCTTTTACAAGCTTCGATGAATTTACAAAATTCAATTTAAAACTAATTCACTTTCTTAAAATATAGAATAATATTTCTATTTTTTTTAATATCAAATATTCAATAATATAATTAATAACATCAAATAATATCATTTACTATTATAATATGCTAAATATCTAATTTGAATATTTGAAACTAAACATCGACGAACTGTACATTTCATTGGTTTTTCTTTGGCTCCTTTATGTTTAATCTAAAGATTTGAATATATATATAAACAAAAATGAACATATATTTCACATTTTTTTAATTTTTCCAAATATATCAATATTAAACTTTCTATAAAACTTGAAACCGAGAAAATTGGCTGGAAATCGGTTTATATGATGAATAAATGAATGATGATGCATCCTAAACTGCAAACCTCGGGATAGATGTGAGATCTCTATATTTATATATACATTAATGTTTGTTTCAAAATCAACTAGATTTGAAAGTTTTCACTCTTGACGCAATAGTCTATATTCAAGAACTTGTGAGGCATCAAACTATGTCATAGCTACAATTTTAGGGACTGAGGACTTGTATTGAATTTACGATTTTTCCTTAATAAAATATTTTATTTAAAAATTAAAAATTATTTTCAATTATTATTTATAAATAATGTACTTTTACTGTACTCAACGTATTTCATTTTATTTTAAAATGTTTTTCGTCAGTATTTTGATTTCGTTGTTTAAGTATTTAGGTTTCTATGCCTTCACATAGGTTAGCTTCAATTAAAATCCCATCCTTTCTCAAACCACTCTTGTTCCCAAACAATCCTTTCCCGTTTCTAACTTCTGTGTATAATGTATATATATAACTCTTGTATATTTATTTGTAATTCTTTTCACGTTATCTGCTATATAGATCTCCACATGTTACCACTTCAACAATAACTTCGTAGATATATACACATGAATGTGACCAATAATAATAAAAAGAAATTTAACAATAAATTTTATAAAATTAATTTAATTCTCAATTTAGTATATGTTTTACTCTTCTTTTAATATAATCAAATTAATAAAAGAATTAATATATATATGAACAATGTAATTTATGATTATAAACAATATTTTTATCTGAAGAATGTCGTGTATTTCAATATTAACTTTGATTTTGATTTGTTTTATAATGATTTGACAATTTTTAAAAGTCCAAACGTCATAAATATTATCTTTTCTTATCAGAATATTTATATTACGCGTATTAATAGATTTGTATGTATAAATGAAGGTCGCATATAAACTTTCACTATACATATTGCTCTCTCCATATGTACATATAATAACTACATATATTTTTTTTATAATAATTATACATATAT